CTTTATTTTTTTAATGTTGTTATTAATTTTTGAGACAGAGGGAGACAGAGCATGAGCGGGGAAGGGGCAGAGAGAGAGGGAGACACAGAATCTGAAGCAGGCTCCAGGCTTTGAGCTGTCAGCACAGAGCCCGACGCGGGGCTCGAACTCACAAACTGAGATTGTGACCTGAGCTGAAGTCGGACGCTTAACCGACTGAGCCACTCAGGCACCCCGAAAATTACTGCTTTAAATTGACAGTGTCTATTAGGAATTCCAGAACTGCTAAAATTTTCAGGGAAGTATGCAAAGAGTCATTTTCAAGCCCCAGGTTCTTTCTCCAGTGTGACAAAGCATTACTGAACAATGAGGATTTGGTGAGGAGTTTCTAGTCTCAAAAGGCCCTGGTTTGAGACATTCTCCAGTGAATGTAGATGCTGCCAATGTCCCCATGGATGTAGAATGGAACAATTGCATTTTGATTCGTCTTAAGCCATTGGTTTAATTTCTGGGGTTTTTTTGGTTTGGTTTTTGTTGCTTCCCACTTTCAGTAGAGAGAAAGCATGTTTAATATGGAACATTTATCCTTTATGTGCTTATCCCATCAAATTTTCAGAGTGAAATAAATGTCATTTTTATAGTACCTGATAATTAGACTATAACCATATTTATCACCTTGGGTTTTTGGCAGTGAATGGAGAGAGTAAAGGTGGAAAAAGGGGTAACTGAACAGCGAGATCTTCAAAGTTACCGCAGAACACTCTATAACAAAACCATCAATGATAATGTGGTTGGCAGATTGTCATGAAGCCTTATTATATGCTTAAACTAGTTTGCAATGGAGGCTTTGTTATTTACGTGTGACACATTTTTCTGTTAGAACAATGGCAAAGGTAAAAATGTCTTAGAGAAGGACAGGGAGTAAAATACCATTTGTCAAACTGGCGAGTCTGAGGACATTTGATAAAATGTCTATATTGTCATTGCAAAGCAAGAACAAAAGTAATAGCTTGAAATGTGGATTGTTTCATTTTATTGTGAAAAGTCTCCCTGTCTTCCACTTTAAAACATCCATTCATTACAAAAGGATTAATAAAAGTGATACATTTCATTATTAATATTTCAGTCAGCATAGAAGTAAAGGAACTCTCCAAACACATTTTTATGTTGGTTTTGCCGTTGGGGGAGGAGAAAACATTTTGTACACAAGAAAATTAAATATGATTTATGACTCTAGGATAGTTTTTCAGAATGCTCTAATATGCCAAGTCATAGATTGTTCTACAGCTTTGAGTGAATACAAACTGTTTTGCATAGTTTTCAGATAACTGGAAAATACTATTTCCTTTTAACCCTCAGCATCCGAAATGAGAGGTGAGAAAAGATTATGGTTACATTTTAGGATTCTCCTCTTTACCTATTCCTGGTAGCTTAGTGAAAGGAAGGATGCTAGACAGCCACAGCTTGATTCAGGCTTTTCCTATCAGAAGAGAGCCACTTTGAACCTAAGTGAGTACTGAAAGGAAGAATTATTCTATCTTGGTGACACCAGACCACAGCATGGTAAGAAGAGACGCTGAAAGACTAAGTTTAATCTATACAACTTAAGACCGCCTTATGAGTTTTGCTACTGTCATCAGGGGACCTAGACCTGTTGTGGAATTTGGATCAAACAAATTCTGAGTTAGAGATTTCGGACTGGACTGAAGTGTACTATCCCAGGCCTGAAGGAAGGACAAGGCTGCAATTCAGTTAGCCTCCATCAAATCTTAGACTAAATATGGCATGGAATTCTCCAGTCCACTGATAACCTGAGTTATCCCTTTTATGAATTCAGAGATAGTCTGAAGGCAGACTCCACCCTTAATGAAGAAGAAAGAAATACAGGGTCATTTCCTTGGTGTGTTTTAGGATTGTTCGGCCTCAAAAGAGGTGGCCAACCCCACCCTGTGCTTTGCAGGCATTTGGATTTCCCTTTTGACGTTTGGCTTTGTTCCCAAGTAGATCATATTTTTTTAATTGTACAAAAGCTTTGCTTTTCCAATCCAGCATAGAACATTACAGTAATTGTTTCTTTCATATGCTCACTACTCTGTCACTAAATTAGGAAATTTGAATATTTTGCAAATAGTCTGCTGAACATCTCTATTCAAAGAACAACATACATTGTAATTTTATTCACTGTAGTTATTGTGTATTTGTAAGAACATATACCAGCAGATTTCAGTTTTTTCAGTATCTTATCTACTTAGCCGAAGTGGAATATTGTAAGAAACATCCTGAGTTTTCCTATAAATTTTAATGGCAGATGTGATTTAAGTAATCTTAAAAATTAGTAGTGAGATACTTCCTATAATCATTTAAAAGATATTAGGCATATAATAATGTGAACACTGTGAATTTGAAGAAAGAAATAATAAGAAGAAGTCTGTCAGTTTTATTTTTCAGTAATCCTAGAATTTATAATAGGCGACTTTATATATTATCATTTAAAAGCTGTTGGGCATATAGCAAAATGACCATTCTGTGAATTTGAGAAAGGAAATGATAAGGAATTTGATTTACTTAGTTTATTTTTAATGATGTCCATTAAATTTTGAATACTTTACCTAAATCAGCTTAGTTATCTAACTGCTTCCTAAATCATTTATCTTTTTTGGATAGATATTAAATCCCAGCACGTAGCCTCATAAAGGTGCAATTTCCAGAGCATTACCCAAAATAACAAGTTGAAAAGAGATCGAATGAAAAAATGAGAAAATCCAAAGCCCACCTTGGGAAGATAATTAGAATTCAAGTGCTAATGTTAGAAATACTAGTAACTCCTATTTAACTGAGATAATTAAAACCTTTGAGATGTTCATCCTATTTACAGAACTGTCTGGGGACAACCATAAAGTTAACTTCGCATAGGAACAACTAGATACAATATAAGAAACCAAATTAGGTCAAAATGCTGAAAGAACATAGCAATTATTGATCAAAGCATTAGCATCGTATTCATTAAAAGAGGTTTTGAAATGATACCACATAACTCTCCTTAGTTGTACTTCTTGTTGGTAAAATATCCTTGTGTTTCATGTGTTGATCACTTTGCATGGGTTGCTTTATATTTATTGAAATCTTATTTTCATCTTCATGTTAGGTACACTTCATTTCGAGTTTTTATTAAATTGTATATATGATTCAATCTTTGGTTTGCTGCCTGCAAATATTTAATACAGTATGAAGCCAGCTACAGTAGGATGAGGGACACACAGGGAAGACATAGAAAACTCTCATATAATGAGGAATTTCCTAGTTATGAATAGTTCTCTTAAAGGTTAGTTTTTTCACAAGGTTAAGTTCAAGTGTTAGCAGGACTCTCCCTTAAAGAATTCTCCGGTAGATTCTTCCCAGGGCCTTTCAGTAATTATTTCTCGGTCCTTGTCTCCCTGGAAAGACTAGTGGACACCTTCCTTCCTCTTTTCATCAGCTCCTGTTGATAAGAGGTGCAAATGCATCTGGTCTCTAAAGTATACTTCACCACAGTGCCAGTGTTCTCTAAGACCTCCTTTGCTTCAGACTTTCAGTGACTCACTGGATAAGGTCCACACTCCCCTGAATGGCACACAAGGCTGCAGAGTCACAAATCTTACTGCCCATCGCCTCTTACCACAGCATACCCTCCATGTCTTCTTAATTCTCTCCATGACTCCCACCATTTTAGCCCCTCAGGATTGCTCGCTCTTAGCATGTATTCTGCTATTCCTCCTCTCCTCCTTCTTTAAGGCATGGACATTGTGTTTTTCATCTTTGCATACCCCGTTACTTTCGCACAATTAGTTCCTGACACGAGAC